ATCTATATCAAAGGTAAGAGAGATTCGCAACCTGTATATCTAATTTAGTTATTTATTTTCTAAAATTTATACTAACTTTTACTGTTCTAAATGGCAACTTCACGTGTATGTGGCTACTTGTGACTGGTATTCATAATTGTGATTTATTTATTTGAATTATTTATGTTATAAACCTAGATGCCAAAAGTTTCTAAAATAAAATATTATGCTGTTCATTCTGGACGTAAACTAGGAATTTATTATTTCTGGGAAGAATGTAAAGATCAAATTCATAGATATCCTGGTGCTTTATTTAGATCATTTGAAATAAAGCAGCAAGCAGAAGATTATATAAACAATTTGATTGAAAAAGAAAATATATTTGTTTGGACAGATGGATGTTGTGAAAATAATGGAAAAAAAGATGCTAGAGCAGGTATTGGAGTTTATTGGTTAGAAAGAAATACATTAAATTTAAGTAAAAGATTGCCAGGAAAATTACAAACAAATAATCGAGCAGAAATATTTGCAGTAATTCGTGCTATTGAAACTTGTATAGAAAAAGATAAATATTTAGTAATATATACAGATAGTATATATGTAATTAATTGTCAAGGAACAAAGAATCCTAAAAAAAATCTTGATTTAGTTAATAAAATGAATAATTTGATTAAAGAAAGGAAAAGAAAAGTAGTTTTTAAATATATAAGAGGCATCGTGGAAATGAAGGTAATGAACAAGCAGATAAATTAGCATATTTAGAATCACAGAAACCATTTTTAGAGTTAATTATACCAGAAACTATAAACAAAAAGAAAAAAACAATAGAAGATTATTTTAAAAAATAAAGATTTTATTTCATATGTCGATTTGGGAGGCGATTCAATAATGTTGTATCAGGTGAGAGACCCAAATCAAAATATGAAATAAACAAGATTTAAATGATTAACTTAATTAGCCACAGCATTGTAAGCAATCGGGTTTAGAGATATTACCAGCTTTGCTGGTAACTAACAAAAAGCCTCTACGGCTTTGGAGTGGAAATATTTATTTTATTTTATAAATTAAAATTTTACAAAGTATCCATTCATATTTTTAGTGATTTTATCAAGATAGCTTTATTTATATAAAATTGCAAATATTTATTTAATTAGTTTATAAACTGATTAAAATTTTTTATTAGTAATTATCAAGATATTAAAACTTTGTCTTTATTGTAAACAAGATAATCATCATATTACTGATTGTCCAGATTATAAAAAACAAAATTTTAATACTTGGTGGCAAGATGATTTTCAATCAAATTTTCATAGACCAATTATGTATTCTGATAATAAAGGTCATATTGTTGAGTATCTTCAAGTCAAAGTTTTGAGAAAAACTAAGAAAGGAAAAAATGAAAATTTCAAAGAGAACTAGAATTTTTTAGTTGACAGAGAATTAAAAAAGATTATTAGATCTCATAAATGGTATAAGAAAGAAGCAAATATTGTTGATGAGAATGATAAATATTTTGTTAATTACATGTTTCTAGATATCAAAATTGATAAGATCAAATTTAAAAATAATTATAGTTTTGATTTACGTAAATGTAATATTGAAATTTTAA